AACATTGACCATGGGATGGTAGTTTATTAATTGCAACGTAATTAACTTATAATTAAAGTTAAATAATCAAAGACTGAATATGATAGGAGGCCGGCACGTGTGTCATCACCACTTCCCGCCGTTCATTACTTTCTTTTAATTTTTATTCAACGATCGACGTTTCATTAGCACATTTGAAATTTCATTTAATTAGTTCATTAATTTCTTTGAAAATAACCTGAAAATGACACCACACGTAATGCTGCGGATTTTGGACCAGGCACACGGGTGGAGTGAGAAATAATAAATTCCCTGACGCAGAAATTTTGATATAAATAAATAAACCTTCATTTTCATTTGACCATTTGATGTTTTGAAAATGAGAACAAAAATAATACTCTTTTAATCCTATTTATAAGACACTTTCTGTATATTTTACATAGACTAAGAAAAACTTTAAAATGTATTAACTCTCTATTAAAATATAACAAGTTTTTAACTTTACTCATATTTAATAGATACGCCTTTTAAAAGAGATAGTTACTTAGAATATAATAAATAAAAGACAAAATAATATGTTCATACTGAAAATTTAATAAAATGACTTATATGACTAAAAAAATCCTTCTATCTCTGCCCTATAAATTTGACAAGAGGACTACATTACCAAGGCTTAATAAAGGTATATGTATTCCCAGCCAGCCACATGGAAATTAAAACTTATTTTTATGGGGAACGATTTTTTAACTCATGCTATAATTCTTATAATATTTTAAAAAAATTTACGACGATTTCATTGTCATATTTTTTTTTCAATGTTAAATGTTTCAGAGTTTTTTTATTGTGTTCGAAGGATGATTTACAGATTTTCCTTTAGAATTTATAAGACAAAAATGGAGGGGCAATTTTGTCTTCAGACAAGTTTAACAAACGACGACCAATGAACAATGGGTCGCTCTAAAATTTCTCAAATTCGCGAGATTCTCTTGTTCATAACCTACGTTATCACTTTCCCGTTCTATTTCTCTTCAGGGAAGAATGTGGGGGGGACCTTGAGCACGTTAGGCCTTAAAGCTTGACTGAATCCATGTGAAACAATCCAATTTGTAATTGACAACGAATTCTTCATAGTATTTCAGTCTTAAAATTTAAAGAAAAGAGTTAATCCCTCACAACATGATAAATTAAAGTTCAAATTTACATTGGGAGAGAAACTACATTTAATTTGCGATAATCTTTTAAACAGGATTGCTTCTAATAAAAAAAATATTTATGCTTTGCCAAAAAAGAAATTCTTCAATTTTAACTTGTCTTTTTATTATTTTGTTCTCTATCACAAGTCATCTTCAAAAAAAAATCACCTTTATTATAAGTTACCTTATGAAATATTAATTACAATTTTAAGATTTAAGGAGTTTAAATCTCGCTGCCAACATGAGAACTGTAAGTACTTTTTTAAATACTTTTTGAGCTTAGAGGCATATCTTATTCTTGTCGAGCTCTTATAACCAAACTTACCTAAATTTTATTTTTTATTTTTGTATAAAAGAGGGTAAATTAAATTTTTTTTATTTTCAAACAAAATTTAATGAATTACTTATCTCTTCTTATTGATATTTTTACCAAATGATTGGAGATGTCTTATAATAAAAATGGGAACGGTGCATGAAATTATCTAATTTATATTCGATGTTGTCATATTCATAATAATAACATAGAACTATAGAAGTCCCCATCCCTTACTGGTAGTGCTTTTGCTCATTTCCTTGCTGATAAAGAAGGTATAATTACAACTCACCCCTCACGCTGAGGCTGTTATTCTCACCATTTACAGCTTGAACCATCAATAATGTATCAATCATTTTTAGCAATTTTTTTTTCTTTTTGAGTCCACACCCCCCCTCAACATCTCCAAAAATATTAAATATATAATTTAATGCAATTATTTTGTAGGGTCATTGTTGGAAAAAGCCCCCATGAGGATTATGGACATGCATGAAACGTAATCCTTAATTTTGTAACCTTAATTCCAAAAATTATCCTTTGATTAGTCTTAATCCTTGAGCCCTACCACCCTGCTCATCAGCTTGTCGTCACTTTATTTGTTGCACTTTTAATTTCTCTTTTCTATCTCATTTTTACGTATCATTCTTTCTAAAAATTAAATTGTGGCATTTTGCACGGTGCCATCCGTCCCCAGATAATTGGAAGAAACAATGTTTTTAGATAAATTAAATTTAAAGAAACGTTCTTCTGGATGAATTAAATTTTTAAATTTTCACTCATAAATTGCGTGATTGCTAGAATATTTTAAAGTATTATAGGGATATACAAGTTAAAGTTGAACTTGTATATAAAATAAGGCTACATAATGTCATGAAAAATAACAATCAATATGGTGCTTTTGATATAAAATTGGGGAGAAACGGGGGCAAAATAAGTAATAAGAGAAGATTACTACAGGAAATGGGTCAGTTAGCAGTCCCTTTCAGCCGCTTAGCTTGAATTTTGTTCACTCTGCATTTTATCGCCCTTTTAATTAATAACAAGGCTTTTGAAAATTAAAATCTCAAATCCTGGGTTACATCATTGATGACGTTGACTAGTGCTTTTGTGGGTTTTCTATGGGCCCAATAAAAAGTGCTTTCTGTGAGTTTCATCTGCTGTTGTTTAGCTAAATTATAATTTTAACACTATAACTTAATTATCAAATTGATCTTGGTTTTATTATTATTTTTTACTCTTATTAATACTCTTTCAATCATAATCAAGCAAGAGAGAGGAAGAAAATATTAAGAAAGATAGTTATGGTATTTTAAGAAAAGTCTTTTATATTTTTTATAATTAACTAACTTTTTTTAATCTAGTTAAATTAGTTAAATAGGTTTTATATTTTACTTTGATCTTTATCTTTTAATTGCATTTAGTTTTAATGTGAAATTCTATATCTGCTCAAGTTTTAATTTTCTCCTTTTAACTTTACTTCACTTCAATCAGTCTTTTTAACTTTACCTGAATTTCTGCTTTCATCTTTTAAACTATGCAAGGCACTAAACTCACAATTTTATTATAAATAAAGTGTCATCAAATAAGTTATTTACGCGCCCTAAATATGAAGTTCTTTTACCTAATTTATAGAAAAAAAGGTAAGTAAGGTGCAAAAGGTAATTAATACATGAAAAATTTGTGACACTTTTTCAAAATATCCCTGGCATTTAATAATTAAAATTTAAGGTGCAAAAACAAAAATACCAAATAAACAGAGGTGTTATTAAGAGGAAATAATTATCATAGCGGACACAATGGAATTGAACCTTATATCTGTGATCAAATCAAAACTCTCAAATCAACTTATATATTTTTATTGGAATATGTTTTGTCAAGCATATTGTATATAGAATCTAGATTAATGAATGTCCATGATATATATATATATATATATATATATAAAGATTTTTTTCCATGTAATAAGGAGCCCTAACTCATGTTATTCAATATCATTAACTAAGGGATGAATGAGCTTGATTAGATTCAGATGAAAGGCACAATTACTTTAACATGATACTCTGCTTCTTCTTTTTTTTTCATGAACAGAATTCCAACCTCAATATTACTCAAAATAATATCTACGAACAACTTGGCAAAGCTTGCCCTAACTCTTTATATTAGGTTATAAATTAACTAATATAGGAATGAGTTAACTAATTTAGAGATTAATAAATTATTTAATTATAACATATATTATGACATTTTTAAAATACTAATATATATTATTAGATTATATATTAGGTTATAAATAACGCAAATTAGATTAAAAAAATGATAAATATAAATATTTTAAAATAATTTAGGGGTGTTTGGGAGCTTCTGAAAGCATCTTAAAAAAAAAATATTTTCACGCAAATGGAGATAAAAATTTGCCTCACATATTTATTTCGAACCTTGTAAAACTACTTCTAAAAGCATGATTTAGTTTTTACCCATTAATAATTTTTTTAATCTTTTTAAATTAATCAACTAAGTTTTAATAGTATTATATTTGGTTACATGGAATAAAACCATAAGTGGGGTGGCTTCGTGCTGCTAGTCCAATTCATGGCAAATCCACTTGATAGTTTTTCAAAGCTGTCAATGCTTCCTTTTTTGGCTGGTAAAAAAAAAAAATGCTTCCTTATTTTTTTAAATTTTTTTCCAACCACACGAGATTCATTCATTTGAATTTGTTTTATTTAAGAAAAAAAACATTGAAGTTTTTTCACCCAGAAGATAAAAACATTTAAGCCACTTAATTGTTCTTGCAGAACATTGCCCCTACTCAAATTAAATGTAATTAAAATTCATTTAATGTAGAGTAAGCAAATATTGGACACCCAATAAAGCTTTAATTAAGAAAACCTGATGAAAAGGCATAATCAAATCAAACTTGACAATCTAAAACCGATATTAATCTTATATCCTAATTCTTAATGACATGAAAGTCTTACTATAAGTGAAAGATCACATATTTAATTTCGTTTGTAATATCAGAGACATAATGTTTACTCCTCTAAATTTATTAAAAAAAGTTGAAAAATCTATTAGTAAATGCGGGGTACTAAAAGATTCAACTTTATCAAATTTAAAAACTATGGGAGTGTTTTCCCCACGAATCTTGAGCATTAACAATCTTAATGGTTTCCAAATCATCTACGATCCTCACAAGTCCATCCACCCAACAGGAATTTATCGGCCACGTCTTTTTCTAACTTTTCTTCTTTTTAATTTTTGTTTTTTTTGTGTTTTAGATTAACCCAGACAGCCTCCGATCATAAACCTTTTGTCTCATTGTTTTGGTCTGGGCTGAAGAAGCATGGTTGTAATTGTCAGTGTCTCTTGTTTAGAGTTCAAAGTCCACGCATTCGGGTCAAATCTTGGAGGTTCAGTCTTCACCGAACCGGTCAGCAACGGCGGCTCGGGCTCGAGCCTCGACCGCCCACTTCTTCCCTGTGAGTTTCCTGATTATTCCCTTTCGAACCATCGATCATAGATCAACAAACACCAGGAGGTGGAAACACATAAACCTGATTTGACATTCACCAACAGAGAAACACAACTCCAACCACCCTTTGTTTTTATTTTCGTCATTTATTGTAATTCTTTTATACCAGGATTACCCCACAAAATTCAAGAAGAAACAGAGGATTTGAAGTACAAATCCGTCTGGTCCAAGTTATTTTTTTTTTTAATACTTGCAGGGATTGCACTCCAACAGACATCTAATGGTTTCAACCCCCTCGTATTTTTTTGACCCTTTGAAATTTCATTCTCGGTTTTTCTCTGTATATGAGTTCTGAGGAAAAAAGGAATTACAAGTTGCAGAAGAACACGAGAAGGAGAAGGAGAAGAAGGAAGAAGATAACACAAACAGCTACATAAATGTCAGAGCATGTAACAGATTCCTGGGGCTTACTGTTTATCTGTTCTTTAATCCTTTTCTCAGGTGCTGATTCAAAGCTCCGTCTTTTATGTTTCAATTCCTTGTGGGTTTTGCGTGATACTTAAGGATTCTTTATTGAGCAGGATTGATATTTAATCTTTGTTGTTGTGTTACTTTGTAGTATCGCGATTTCCGCGAACTGTTGTCTGGGTATTTTGTTTGTTTATTCTGGAAATCCTAGGTTTCTTTCACGCTTACCGAGGCCGTTTTGTTTATGTTGATTGTTTTTCAGCGGGTAAAATAGTTGCCGGAGATTCTTTGGACACAGACAGAGAAGTTTTGCTTCAGCTCAAATTATACCTCAACAATCAAACTCTAGTAGACCAAGGACAATACACAAACTGGAACACGACCAGTTCGAATCCTTGTGAATGGTCGGGAATCTGGTGCAGCGGCAATGGAACAACGAGGAGAGTGGTCGGAGTCAACCTCACCGACAACAAAATCACCGGCGGGATATTCCAGAACTTCTCTCGGCTCACTGAGCTCAGACACCTTGACCTTTCCCGGAACACACTCTCCGGCAAGATTCCGGCGGACTTGAGGCGGTGCCGAAAGCTCGTGTATCTCAATCTCTCCTACAATATTCTTCCCGAAGAGTTGAATTTAATTGGCTTGACAAACCTTCAAATTCTTGACTTATCAGGCAATAGGCTTCACGGGGATCTCGGCTCTAATTTCCCTGCCATTTGTGACAACCTGATCAGCTTGAATATCTCAGGAAATAACTTCACGGGTAGGACTGATGAGTGCTTCGATCAGTGTTTGAAATTGCAGTACTTGGATTTGAGCACTAATAAGCTTAGAGGGCATATATGGATGGGAATTGCGAAGCTGAGAATGTTTTCCGTCTCAGAGAATTCTCTCGGCGGGAAAATTCCTCCGTCAGCTTTTCCAGTGCAGTGCAATCTTGAATTTCTTGACATTTCAGAGAATATGTTCGGAGGAAGTGTCCCTAAGGAGGTTGCCAACTGCAAGAATCTTACGACTCTGAATCTATCTAGCAACGAATTGGATGGACCGATACCTAAAGAAATTGGTTCGCTTTCTCGGATGGAGGCATTATACTTGGGGAACAACAGTTTCTCAAGAGACATCCCAGACGAACTCTTGAACTTGACCAATTTGGCATTCTTGGATTTAACTAGAAATCAATTTGGTGGGGACATACAAGAGATATTTGGGAAATTCAAGCAGGTGAAGTATCTTCTATTGCACTCAAATTCTTACACTGGAGGATTATCTTCATCAGGAATTCTCAGATTACCAAACATTTTACGCTTGGACCTAAGCTACAACAACTTCTCAGGTCCATTGCCCACAGAAATCTCACGAATGTCAAGCCTGAAGTTATTAATGTTAGCCTACAATCAATTCACTGGACCTATTCCACCTGAATTTGGAAACTTGCCTAGCCTTCAAGCTCTTGACTTATCAGTCAACAACTTATCTGGGCCAATCCCACCAACTCTTGGAAACTTGACCTCTCTTTTATGGCTCATGCTTGCAAATAATTCATTAACAGGTGAAATCCCAAGAGAGTTGGGAAACTGTTCGAGCTTATTATGGCTAAACCTTGCAAATAATAAACTCACAGGAAAATTCCCACCTGAATTGACCAACATAGGGAGAAACGCCATGGTCACATTTGAATCAAATAGGCAATATGACACAGTCAGTGCTGGCTCTGGTGAGTGCTTAGCCATGAAGAGATGGATTCCTGCAGATTACCCTCCATTTAGTTTTGTTTATGACATCCTTACGAGGAAGAATTGCAGAAGCATTTGGGACAGATTGCTTAAAGGACATGGGATTTTCCCGATTTGCAGTGCAGGTTCATTTTCACCATATCAAATCTCTGGCTATGTTCAGCTAAGTGGGAACCAACTCTCAGGTGAAATTCCTCCAGAAATTGGAACCATGCAGAACTTGAGCATGTTGCATTTAGGGTTTAATAAATTTTCTGGGAAACTACCTGCACAGGTGAAAAGTATACCGCTTGTGGTATTGAACATAACAAGAAACAAGTTTTCTGGAGAAATCCCTAGCGAAGTTGGAACCATGACGTGTTTACAGAACCTTGATCTCTCCTACAACAATTTTTCTGGGGTTTTCCCCCCAAGTTTGAACAGCTTGTCCGAACTCACCAAGTTCAACATTTCTTATAATCCCTTGATTTCAGGTGAGATTCCATCGCCAGGACAACTAGCTACGTTCGAGAAATACTCATATTTGGGGGATCCCCTCTTGGATCTCCCAAGCTTCTTCGACAACTCCACCGATGATCACAAAAACAAGACTAACAGACCAATCAAAAAATCCACGAATGTCTCTGTTTTCCTGGTGTTCTTCGCTCTCATTCTGGCTTTCTTAGTGTTCGGTCTTCTTACTGTCATAGTCTGTCTACTGATAAAAACGCCGTCGGAAGAACCACTTGTGAGAGACATAAAACTCGACCCTGAGTCTGGAACCTCATCCCCATGGTTGTCGGACACAGTTAAGGTTATTCGACTGGACAGGACAGCTTTCACACACTCTGACATCTTGAAAGCCACGGGAAATTTCTCAGAAGACAGAATTATAGGCAAAGGAGGCTTCGGAACAGTGTACAGAGGTGTATTTTCAGATGGGAGAGAAGTGGCAGTGAAAAAGCTCCAAAGAGAAGGACTTGAAGGCGAAAAAGAATTCAGAGCAGAAATGGAAGTTCTATGCGGCCATGGCTTCGGTTGGCCCCACCCAAACCTCGTCACACTCTATGGTTGGTGCCTCGACGGTTCGGAAAAAATATTGGTTTACGAATACATTTCAGGTGGAAGCTTAGAAGATCTCGTCACCGACAGAACAAAATTCACTTGGAAACGACGGCTAGAAGTAGCCATTGACGTTGCTCGAGCTTTGGTTTACTTACACCACGAATGCTACCCTTCAATCGTTCACAGAGATGTGAAGGCAAGCAATGTGTTGTTGGACAGCAAAACAGGGAAGGCCAAAGTTACGGACTTTGGGCTAGCCAGAGTAGTTGACGTTGGAGACAGCCACGTCAGCACGATGGTGGCTGGGACGGTGGGGTACGTGGCGCCGGAGTACGGCCACACATGGAAGGCGACGACGAAAGGTGATGTGTACAGTTACGGAGTGTTGGCTATGGAGCTGGCGACTGGAAGAAGAGCATTGGACGGAGGAGAAGAGTGTTTGGTGGAATGGGGAAGGAGGGTGATGGGTCATGGAAGCAATAAGCCGATCGGCCGGGCGGTGATTCCGGTGGCGCTGATGGGTTCTGGCTTACTTGAAGGTATGGAGGAGATGGTGGAGCTGTTAAGAATAGGGGTGAGATGCACGGCGGAGACACCGCAGGCCAGGCCGACGATGAAGGAGGTTCTGGATATGCTTATCAAGGTGTATAACCCCAAGGCAGATTCAAGCTGTGAACATACGAGTCATTAATAATGTCAAGGTGAAGCATTTTGTGCCTCATAAGGAAGGAAAATAAAAGAGATATAGGATAGCAAGGAAACAATAAATAAGAAAAAAAATTGTGCATATTGTTGTAGGTTGTAAAGTAGTTTATACTTTACATAGGAAGAAAAATCATGTCTCGTGCACATATGATTGTTTTCTGTGTATACAGAAATCTTCATCATTCATTATGCTGGAGAAGTTTCTCAGTTTTGTTCTCTTTTTCATGGATCCTCGGCACTTTTTTTTTTTTAATAGTAATAACTCCAAGTTCTTCACATTAATGTGATGAGTTGTTCATAGAACGAACTTTAATTTCTAGACAACTTTTATGGGATCAGAAATCTCCCTCATTCGTTATGCTGATAAGGTTGTTCAGTTTTGTCAACCCACTCTGTTTCAGTAGTTTCATTCTATTTCTTTCCATTTTGATGAATATATCCTTCACTGTTCTATGGGGACTCCAGCAATGTTGGGTACTAAGGTTTATAATCCAAAGCGTTATAATGATTTGAATGCCTTGAGATTAGAATAAGAATCGTGCAGAGTGTAATGAGTTTTGTAATAATTTACCCAGAAAGTCACTCCCTTCATTATGTTCAAGGAGTGGCTCAAGCTCATGGTTGTGCTACACAGGTTCAGTGTTGTTTCTGGGTTTCTCTCCTTTCGGATGAATTTCCAGCACTTCAGTTTCTGCGACTTTGATATTATTATCACTTCGATCCCTCTCTGAACGTTCTCTTCTATCTGCAGGGCAAAGAAATAATGGCAAACAGAATCTTCATCAGTAATAATGACAACTTAACTATATATTTTCCAGCAGGAATCAAAGAATTATGTAATCTTCATTATTTTCATGAATCATAGAGCAAATCCACAGAATTTTTTTTCTCAAAAATTAAAAACCATCCACACAAACAAAAGTGGCATAACAGTCAATAATTTGGCCTTCATAAGGTGCATCTGTCATGGAGCGTCTGCTTTATTGGTACCAGGTCTGTTCATTTTATTCCCTATGATTCATGTACCATATTATTGCTGTTTGACAACACGAGTTCATCATGTTCCCAACGTTTTAGAAATTTATTTAAATGATCCCTCCTTTGTCTCATCTCATCATGAGTTCCATTCAATTACGTAAAACTAGTAGCCACTTGTATCTTAATAGATCGGGTACATGAATTGTATGGTATGATTACACTTTATGAACAACCCATTACTTCATTTGATAATTACTTTGACACTGTTAACCAGAAACTTTCATTTGATAACTTGTTTTTGAAATTTTTTTGGATATTTTGGATACGGTGTCAAGGTCACTCGTTTGACCCTCCTCATTAATTTACACCTTCATGAGCAATATATATGTATATATTCAAACCATCTTGACTTGAACCAGCATTATTAGCCATTTATGTTTTCGGTTTTTAATGTAAGGCTCTATTAGCATTTTTTAGGAGATTTTTTTTTAACCATTGATTTGAGGAGATTAATATTTTAATGTATGTATGTTTATAATTTTTTTCAAACTAATTTGCTTAACTTATAAACTACTCTTCTGGTCCTAAATGTAAGACCCTTATAAGTATAAGGGTCTTACATTTAGGACTGGAGGAGTAATACATAATCTAATGATTTGTATAAATATTTCAGAAAAATCCTGTAATATATAATATAATAAAATAGTTTTTGATGAAAAAATTGCAAAAAAAGATCACCGAAGTAGAAAAATTATAAATAAAGACTTATGATGACATTAGTATAGGTTTTGACAACAATAGTCACTAGTATAGGTTCTGAGAATAATTTTTATAAACCGGTCCTGAATGTAATTTTTTTTTAGGAAAAATCCCAGAAAAAGCCCTTGGAATATACTAAATCCCAGATTGGCTCTTTAAATTTTGAAAATGACAGAATGGGTCATTGACCCTGGCTAAACAAAGTGAGTAGTTATTCTTTAAACAAATCTAGGTAACGCTTACACTGTTCTAGTGATTACAAGATTAGTTGTAATTAATAATAAGGTACCTGACAATAATAAGATACCTGACTATGCAAAATGAGTAGTTATTCTCTACACAAATCTAGGTAATGCTTACATTGTTCTAGTGATTACAACATTAGTTGTAATTAATAGCAAGACACCTGACTATGAAAAAGTGAGTAGTTATTCGCTACACGAATCTAGGTAACACCTAAACCCTTATAGTGATTCCTTAAATCATTATAGTGAATGAATGTAAATGAAGGTAAAATTGTCAATTCGCCTTAATTTCACAAATGACAGATTGGGTCAATGACCCATTCTGAGATTTCCTATATTCTAATGTCTTTTTTTGGGATTTTTCCTTTTTTTATTTTACATGTATTCTTTTTGCTATTTTTCCTTTTTTTAATCTTCCCAATCTTTTTAAATGAGTGAATTGTGGGTAATATTATTCAACGAATTCACGATTTTGCTGTGAAAACGGAGAATCTAGGTTGAACTGCGTAGGACAGGATTGATTTTCCTCTAGCAAAATAGGGTATAGGCTTTGTTTCATTGCCCTACATGTTCCGACACGATAGGCAGGACACATTTCAATACCAAAATTTCCAAAATCCTATAATGTCCCCGATCTTGTAGATTTGGTAGGCTACTCGTTCATATCTCTTCCCTATTGGACCTGGCATTTACCTGAAGATATTCTATTTTAAATCCACGCGCATGCAACTAGCCGGATAAGCTCTTGCAAGAATGGCTTAGTTTACTCGGTTTCTTTGTCGTTTATTCTCACACGAAAGCCATCAAATTAGAAGGAAAGGAGGAATCCAAAACGACCTATTGGATGATGGGAAGAACAAAGTATGATTCGTAATTAGCTTGTTTAGAAAAATCGGAGACATATACATATATGGGCAAGCATGAGAGGGAATTTTAGGCTGACCATTACTCAGGAGTCAGGTGGGCAGAGTGTGTGTGTGTGTGAGTGATTTGAACTCATTGATGGAAAAGATGTGGACATATTAGCCATTCTTGACATGATTACTGTCCCACTTCCAAACACAGAACAAAAGCACTCAAGTGCTTCTCCACTATAACACTTGCGCATATATCAGTTACAGAATAATTTCCTCTCTCTCTCTCTCTCTCTCTCTCTACAATCCCAGGGCTGTCTATAAATTGGACATCAATGAAGCTCTTGTTTGAACCATGAGCAATTAGAAGAGGTTCATCAGACAATAAAGAGATGGATCAGTGCTCTAATGGAGTTGCTGCAACACACAGAGATGTTTCTCTTCAGGAAATTAGCAGAAGGCTAGCTGAGTTTGCTGAGATCAGAGGATGGGATCAGTATCACAGTCCTAGAAACCTGCTTTTAGCTCTTGTAAGCCATACTTAATTATATTCATATGGGGTTCTTCTTTTTGTGAAGATTTTGACTGTGGTTTGATTTTTGCAGGTAGGGGAAGTGGGAGAGCTGTCTGAGATATTCCAGTGGAAAGGAGAAGTGGAAAAGGGACTACCCAATTGGAGTAGAGATGATAAGGAGCATTTAGAAGAAGAACTTTCTGATGTTCTTCTGTATCTGGTTCGTCTAGCTGATGTGTGTGGCCTTGATCTTGGACAAGCTGCTCTCACCAAGATCGTCAAGAATGCTCAGAAATATCCCGTTAAAATCCAAACAACCAACAAAGCTTCTTCTTAAACGCATGTAATAAGTAATGTAATATCTTCTTAGATTGTGTCGTGAATGAATGAGCTGATCAAAATTTATCAGAAGTGGGTCATTTAGGTAAGAAAATTTACTGAGGCACCAAGTTCAATGAGTTTTTATTAGTTGTTTGGAGTTCTACGGAATTTCCCAACACAGGTATCTACCTAGCTGCAGCAAGTTTATGAGCATTCGCTGTCATTTTCTTAATGTATCTGTGGTACTTATGAAAGTGGGCATCTCTGTACCTTTCCTTTTGTTTTGGTTTCCTTTTCTGTGTGAGGTTGAAACTGAGTTCACCTATTTCTTTACCCATTTGAGAAGAAGCAGTGGAAAATAGGCCTTTCTGTGATCACATGCTCTCTATTTCTGCAAAATCATTAGTTTCATCATTGATTTGACAGAAATTGCCACAACTGTGTTTTCCCCTTTCGGCTTTCGTAAGCAGTTATGAATTATCTGCTAGGTATGTGGGCTATGCTGTGCCCGTGTACGTATTGAATTAAAATAGATTTGGAGTCTTGGGTCTTTGAAAGGCATTATCATATGTTGTTAGGCCCAATTCTTAGGATGGCCCTTCAAAACTGAGATGCAATATTTTTCAGAACATATCATTAAAACTCTATATTTTGCTAACCGCGTTGAGTCTGACAAAAAAAATTAATTCCTCATAATATAATAAACTAATATTCAAATTTCTGTTAAGAGAGGCGTTTATATTTAGTACCCAATAATGTTTCGAATAAGATTGCCTCCAATAGGAGGATATTTATGCTTTAGTAAAAAAAAAAAAAAAAGAACTCTACATATTGTTTAAAATAAATTAACTCCCTCTACTTAATTCCACTACTATTGATTAATTTTATTTACATTTCAAATTTTATAAATTTTGAACAAAACAATTTTAAAGATAGAACTGCCCATTTAAAATTTTAACCAAATCATTTTTCATCGACAAGGATTTATTACAAATGAGAATTTGACACATTAGAAAGACCTGGGAGATGACTGTTTATTGTTTCCTTCCCGGGAAATTTTTTACTTTGGAACTTCAAATTCTTACATGTTATCCATAATCGAAAAAAAAAATATTACTTCTTATACTTAATATAAGAACGTTGTTAATCAGAAATTTAATCTAGTTCTAAATATAAGACTTACAATTCGTATTTTTTCATATTTATCTATTTTTTCAAAATAGTTTGAGTGATTACATATACTAAGAAATTTTTATTAAATGATAGTTTTAATATACATAATTAATAAAAATATTTTAAAAAATATAACAATTATTAACTACGCATGACTAATTTAATTAATTTTTTTAATATTTATGAATAAGGTATTTAGCTCTTATATTAAAAAAAGAAGTAATATATCTGTATCATTCTGTCATAAAATCTTGACTAACTAGATTATTAGATTAATATTTACGACCATATTTCGACGCAGAGGAATAATCCTCAAGAAATAATATAGTGGAGCTAATTATTGTAGACTTTAATAATAACTATTTAATTTATACTTCCCCCAAATTTTTTTCTCTTCCATTAATAAAATATCGCTCGCAAATATTTAATTTATACTTCCCTCAATTTGTCCCCTGTTTTTTTTTCCTTCTTTCCATTCAACAAAGCATAGAATTTTCTCCTGTTTTGTGTTGTTGCTAGCTTGATGACAATACCGACAGTGAACTTGTAACGGGCAGTGAAAAGCCCGTGAATGTTAGTGTTAAATATCAAGTTACAATATGTTGGAACCAATCCCAGATGGAATCCAAATGTTGTTGACTCGCTTGAAAAGCAAAGGGACACGAAACAATACAATTAAATTAATGCTAATTAATTGACTAGGTTATACCACATCCAATATTTAATATAATAGCTAGTTTTACATTTAATTTAATTCTAAATATAAGATACCAATCTATTTTGTTTTTCGTATTTATTCATTTTTTAATATCGTTTTTACAATAATTGTACATGTTAAAGTTTTCATCAAATAATAGTTTTAGCTAATACATATGATTATCAGTAGTAGCTTAAGAAAGACAATACATATTTATTACAAATAACTAACAATATATATTTTTACAAATAACTAGCTTAAGTAATTTTATTAATCTATTCAAATTAGTCAACTAGTTCTTATATAAAGGAAAAATAATACTAGCTCCTACCTTTAATAAAAGAGCTTGTTTGACTTTTAATTTGGTTTTAAATATAAGATCTCAATCTACTTTGTTTGTTATATTTATTCATTTTTCTTAAGGTAGTCCATGCAGTTATTACATATATTAAATGTTTAATCAAATGTTAAAGCTAATACACTTGATTAGAAAAGGCATTTTAAAGAAGACAATACTAATTTATTATAAATAACTAACTTAACAAATTTTTTAACGTATTTAAATTAGTCATATAATTTTTATATTATGTTAAGAATAGGAGATACTCCTCCGGTCCTAATTATAAGACCCAATTGACTTATTTGAGGAGATTAAGGAAGTAAATTAAGTTGGTTATTTATAATAAATAAGTGTTGTTATTCCTAAAATATCCTTGCTAATTAAGTATATTGGCTAAAACTATCATTATTAGAAGGATTATCTTGGAAAAAAATGCATAAATATAAGAGAGAAAATGGATTGGGTTTTATAATTAGGACCAAATAAAAAGTCAAATTGGGTCTTATAATAAGGACCGGAGGAGTAGCATGAATTAAATTTAAGGTCATTGGTAAGAACCCCATGGGTCATGAAGAGAAGAAAAGAACATTTACAGTATGACCCAAAAACATGGAGCCGAAGAAAGGAGCAGATTGGTACCTTCGGACACGGACAAGATTTGAAGTTTCTTTCTTTCTTTCTTTTTTCCCCTTTTCTTTTTGAAGCACCATGAAAGAGGACATTTTTGTACCAGAAAAAAAAGGCACTTTCCCTTCAGACAAAGATTTAGAATGAAGGTTGAAAATTCAAAGAGTTAATGCAATTGTTTTTATATTTTAATCAAATTTTGGTTTTGATTTCTTTAATTTCACTTCATTAGTTTTAATTCTTATAATTTCATATACACTTACCATGCATGTGCGTATTTATATTAAACTTTTAATAGTACAATATATATAATATCAGTAATAACATACAATTTATGGTTGTATGGAAAAATGTATGCTTTTTTCAATTAATTAAATCACATAGTTATATATATATTATATGTTAATGATACATAGAAATAAATGTAATATAATTATAATTTTCAGAAAATAATTTACAATTTTTCTTTTTAATAATTTTATCTTGTAATTCGTAAATTATTAAATACATATATACTCACAAAAGTTGGCAAATGCTCTATGTGAATAATATATTTTCATTTAACGTTTTACATTTGATGCGAAAATTGAGACAATTTTTTTAAGAGGAAAGAGTTGATAGCTTTTATTAAATATGCATTAAAATATAAACTAAACATACTTATGTAATGATATGATACTCCAATACAGAAGTGACTATAAAAAAAGTATATGGAGATGATGACTGTTGATAAGATCGAATAGTTTCAATAATAATTTCAACTTGGAGATATATCAAGTAATCAAATAAGATTCTTCATAGTCACTTAAAAGATTACTCACTAATAGGTTTGATTACAATGTCTCACCTTTCCTTAATTATAGTTTCTTCCATTTGTTTGGCTGACTTCACGGGGGAAAACAAAATAGTCTAAAAAGATTTAGAAGAAATTGTAAACAAGAGAAGATATCTAGTAGTCAATCTGGTAATAATGAGTAACTATAGGGGCCATTTACGTCACTAAATACACAGTTCACTGAGTTTGCATGCGGGCATACATAAATAATAAAAAAATAAGTGGGACCCCTGCTGACTACTATAAAGTAATTAGAAAAACCCAATAAAGAATGAGAGCAAATCCCATTAAAAAATTAATTTGGAAGGATCAAGGTTGCTTTTGAGAATAAAGATTCGTGTATTTTCCTTTTCTGCGCCAAAAATAGGGAAAAAGATAATGTTTTTTTATTCTTGTTACAGTAACCGGAGGAGGGATGGACTGTGCAGACTGGTGTCTGATTTTAATCTTTGATTTTTACTTCTTCATTTTGGTGGGGATTAACAAAGTAGTGATTTTTTTTTCTTTTACAAAACCAGAAACAATCATGGAGGAGAGAATCTAGAGGCTGTATTACATGCATGTTTTCTCACCCTGTTAGAAAAATCAGAAAAAAACATAAATGAGAAAGAGACGAAGAGAGAGACGGGGGTGTTGACAACTTTAATGTCCCTTCTCATGTAAGTTTCGTTTGGTTCAGCGGATTTCATTCTTGGGATCTCTCTCTCTCTCTCTCTCTCTCTCTGATATCTTCCTTGAGAGAATGGCCCAGCAGATCCAAATCCCCATTTTATCTGCTTTTCCCATTTTCTCTGAAAAATTTACTTTTTGATTTTGGAGCTCTTTTGGCTCATTTGTTCCGCTTCCGGATTTTTGGCTTTCCATCCGGCTGTTTTTGTTTTTCTTCTACCTTTTTCCCCCCGCTACATAGCAAGCGTCGAGGTACAATGAGTGAAGATTCCATTGTTGGGTTTTGGAGAGGTGGCGAGAATTAGATTTCTTCTTCTGGTAAGTTTATATTGATTTTCTGGATTCCGTGCATAAAGAACATTTTCCGGGTGGGATTGTGCTGATTTTCTCTTCTGTTTTCTTCTGTCTTCGCTGGTTTTTTCGCACCAAATGATCAGTTTTTGTGTAAGAATTTAGTACTTTTCGACGACTCATAATCATTTTGGAACATTTTTGAAGGACAATTCCGATTTGAATCAGTGACTAGTGTACTCGGCTTCAGTAATATCGTCATTTTTCTTCACTCGCTTTGTAATAGTGTTCGGTCTGCGAAGGAGAGGTTTCAATTAATGTCGTAATTAATGAATTTTCCATCGGTTGTACTTTTTTTTTCCTTCCTTCTGGGTACCTCCTACGATTTGTAAAATTCGATCGGATTCACTGAAAATTTCACTGCATGAATGCGATTCTCATACATTCTCCATTCATTCGTCCAGATACTTTTTCCGGTTTCTCTGACGATTTTGATTGAAGTTGCTTTTAGCTTCTGACCCCAAGAAAAAATTACCAGGTCTTTTTCTTAAGTTCGAAGGATAAGAACTATCGTTTTCGGCGGCTTATTCATCGTGATGGATTCTTTGGGCATCTGGTTCTGTTGCAAAATATGATTTGCTGGTAAGATTTGTTTCAGGATATTTTTCTGGTTTCTCGGGTTGTCAGCATAATTCTGTCCTCAGGGAATCATTTCCTCTTTTCCTCTTCCTTTCAATCAGCTTCACAAGTAGAAGTTTTAATAGCGTTGGGACTCCACTGCTCGTTATGACTTCTAACCTGTGAACTCAGTTCGTTGTCTACTAATCTTCACTTGGATCAATAATATTTACCAAAATCGATCGGAATAGGCTCTGTTTTTGAAAGGAGATAAATGTGCGTTCTTTCTGTGGATACTCTTATTTTCACTGAATAGTTTGTGTACTGTCCTGCATCAAATCATTTGTTATTAGGCTGGAATGATGAGTTTCATAAGTTCATGTTTAGCAACTTTTACATGAAATAAACATGCAGGGGAATTGATATATTCATCTAGCATCTGTATCTAAGACACCTCAATTGTAGTTTAGCCTGAGGACTTTGGGAACCATCATTTAGTAGCATGCAGGGTTCTGGTGTTTTTCAATAAATCCATTTTTTCTCTGTAAATTTCTTTCGATGTTTTTCTTCTGAAGATGATGAACTCAAAAAAGGGAATTACCTGCTCGCCCTCCTGACACTGGAAGCGTTAATAATCTCTTTATGAAGTGGCTCTGCACTTGTTCTTCTGTTATAAGTTATATTGAAGCTCATGCTCTTCTTTTCTGGGGATGGGAAGGGCGGTTGTTTGAGGCTTGTTGTTGTTTCACAACATGTTTGGCTCAATGGGGCAAGATTGTTTAGGTCATGATGTCTGGATATCTCTCATCTGGAGAGTATATGTACTTTACATTCTGTATTAGAGTATATTTGTGCAATCTACATATCTTGTTATATTAAATTGTATAATGATGTATCAACAAGATGACGGAGAGTGAAGTGGCATGTTTCAGATTTTTGTTAACATATTACCTTGTTATAAAATTACGCGTGTCTAATGATTATGTCCTGCTTTTGGTGACAAGAACGACAAGAACGTCCTCTTTCTTTGGGAAACATTTGATTGCTGCAAGGTGCATGAAATTGTCAGTGTTGAAGAATTGCTGTGTATGCAAATTTTGTTTGTTGACTTGACCACTGGATGACAGCATTCTAAGATATGCGAATCATCCTATTAGTTGTTTCCTTAGTTTCTTGGCTCACATACATTGTCTGATTGTCCGGAGACACCACTTTATATACTATCTCCGTTCCTTAATATAAGAGTTAGTTTGACATTCAATTTGCTTTTAAATATAAGACTCTAATATACTTTGTCTCTTATATTTATCCGTTTTTTCCAAGATAGTCCTTATAGTAGTTACACGTGTTAAAGGTTTCATCAAATGGTAGTTCTAGCTAATATACATGATTAGCAAAAATATTTTAGGAAAAACAACACTTATTTATTGCAAATAACTAACTTAACTAATTTCCTTAATTTACTCAAATTAGCTCTTATATTAAGGACCGGAGGTAGTATTAATTAGCAGTCTCGTATTTCCATTAACAATCATGATACAAGCTAAATTAAAATGATGTTCTTTTGGGGCTTATTATTATTTTTTAAATAAGTAATACAACAAGTAACTTACTTTTGGTTACGTTACAGGTTTTCATTCAATTGGAGCTGAGGGTTCCATGTTATAAATTGTAATATCTGCATGTTCCATGATGGCATTGTTGGGTATGGGTGCAAATGTGCAATGCAATGGCACAAAGCCAGGATATCACTCCAGTAGGGACCTTATCTTTGGCCCTGAAGGCAGCACAAGGACCTCATCTAATAATAACTTTGAAATACAGAATGGCGTCTTCATCAATGGTTCCTTGCCAATAGAATACAATAAGGAACTGGTGAAACAGACAATACTCAAGCATGAAGTCATGTTCAAGGAACAAGTATGTTATCAATATTTTCTCCCTGATGTCTAATTATAATCAGATTTATTATTGTGTTTTCATCCGTACTCAAGTTATCACTTAATTACTTGCGGCAGCCTTTTCTCTTTAAAAGAAAAAAAAAAACCTAATGTCTTTGTAATATTTATGATTTGTTCTCTGTACCAGACAATTGATGTGAAACTTTCCGCTGATGTGCAAGAAATTTCTTAAGTATTCATATTTTAGTCTTTTTCAAACTCACGCCTCTTGACATCCTGAGGTCATATATGACAAGTCTTTGTAATGCGTTGAGATGGAGAATGACACGACCCCTTAGGATCTATATGGTTGCCTTTAGAAGAAATGGACAAAGGGGATGTGTCAGAACTGAATCAAATACATAAAAAAAATAATTATCTTGTACATGTTGGAATACTGAACATAAAAAGTAAGGAGCAAAAGGAAACCCTAGAAAGTTAATCACAATGGTCTTGAAAATTAATTGTCATTATTTTATTTTATTAATATTATGCTTTCATAAAAAAAATGTTTCCTTTCTGTTTGGATAGATATGCTAACTGTACTTATGGCAAGTTGTCATTTGTGGTAGTTATTTGGTCTTCTATTATTACTAAAACCTCATTAATTTCGTAACTATTTGTTGTCTCTGAACTGTGCATTACTGTTCAGATTCATGAGCTGCACCGCCTTTACAACAGACAGAAGGAACTAATGGATGAAGTTAAAAGGAATTTTGATAAGCATTTAAGTTTGGGGATATCATGGTCAAGTTCTAACCCATCTCATGTATCTTCTAAAACGCCAAACTTGCCATGGTCAACTGGTCAATCATCTGCTATAGTTGTTGAAAACATTCAGATGTCATTGGATTCTGGGAAAGGAAACAGCAGGCAAATACATTCTGCTTCCGCTCTATTTCCAGCCGAAGGGTGTTCAAAAGATTTTAGAGTATCACATTTAGAAAACAGGAAAGTTGGCAATAAATTTTTGGATCTCCATCTTCCTGCTGATGAGTACATTGATAGTGAAAAAAAGGCCAAGTCCTTGGAAAATGAAATGGTTTCGAAATTTCCCCGGGTTTCAGCTTACACTTTAGAAGGGGTTTCTCAGGCTGTGTGTAACAGTGATAAGCGACCATACGGAGCTAACTTAAATGGTTTGAGCAATTTAAATGAACCATTTGAACACTTGAAAGAGGCAACTATGAAGTTTGATGACCCAATGGGCCCTGCTAGTCACAAGAAGGGCCCCTTTCATGATCTGTCAACGAGGGGAGAACCTTGCTTTCATAATATGTCTAATGATGTATTCTGGAATCCTTACAAAAGACAGGATCACGAAGGTCGCACAGACAACCAACCCTCAGAGAAGAAGAACCAGGAGCAGCTGCCCTATATGATTAGAGCTGGTGAGAAATCGACTTTAAGATTGCATGGAAATTATGGTACTTTACTATTTTCAAATTATTCAGCTGCTGTATAAAGTCAGTCTATACTCTGGTTTTGCACTACTGTTTCAGTATGTCCTTGTCATCCCCGCCTTTTCCCAAGTCTCGTATAATGAGATTCTGTTATTTTAGGGCAAAGAGGTGGTGTCTAGGATTCTCTTGCTAAAGTGATTAGTACAGAAAAACTATATGTTTCGTCTGAATTATTTATTAAGAAGTTGATAACCTTCTGTGTCTTTATTTCTCAGATCAAATTAACCAAAGACCCTGGAGGGAAAGAGAGTTTTCTTGCGGAGAGAGCTCTGTGGGAACAACAAAGGGTCCAATGAGTGCTAGCTTGCTTGGACCAAGTAGTGATCCTTATCAACTTGTCTCTGGGCCTGATGTGATAAGCTTCAGGATTCCTCCGCAAGTTTTATTGAAAGCACCTGGATCTAACACAGTTGAAAACCAGACAGCAGTTCAAGCGCTGCCTCATTTTGGCACCTCTTCACTGTTTGATCAGAGGTCTAAACCATTGACAGGATTGCCTGGGCCTACTGGAGATGAGCTATACACTAGTGAAAATATTAAATCTGGCGTTAATTTGGATTGCCAAAACTTTCTTCAGAGCAGCTTTTTCGGTGGATCCAAAACATCAGATGCACCATCATTTCTTACCAACCATCTAAACAGCTTTGCCAATCAAAGCTCACCTACCAGCCATGAGCTTAGGAAGCATGTTAAAGATTCTGAAGATGTGGAGACTTCTAATAACATAAACTTGAATGTGGTGCCTGCAAATAATTCTGAAACAGCAGCATTTCAAAACGTTAAAGAAGATCTTTTACCCGAAGGGAAACCCTGTGGAGAAAATAAAATCTCTGTCCAAACGGAATCTTTTCTTTTAAAGCCTTGTGATTCTGGAATTACACGTGGTTTTGAATTAATGACGACTGGGGCAAGAGACTGTAGTGGAAGGAAGATTCACGCTTCTAACACTAAGGGAGAGCCTGAGACTTCCTCAGATCAGTATTCTTTTCGTGCTTCCCCCTCCCGAGTTTGTCAGAACCAAACCAAAAACGAGAAGATTGAGGAAACTCAGAAAGGCTGCGTGCCTGATATTGAGTTACCTCGCAATCATGTGCCTGGCTTGGGAGATCAGATAACTACTGGAGAGAATTTGACAAAGAATGAAGAGGGGAGAGAACTCAAATGTGGAGCAGGGATCATTGACCTAAATATATCCATGAATGAGGATGAGAACTTGCCAGTTGATATTGATTTTCAGGCACCCGTGAGTCCTGAAAACAAGGAATCTTCTCCACCCAGAGGGGAATCTGATGAAAACCAGCTTGAGATTTCATATCAATTGGCAGGACAAGAGTGTTCTGAGCTACAACCAGAGGAAGCTCGACTTGCAGCAGAGGCTTTGATTTCCATATCAGAATCTGTGGCCCATAATGGTCTCCAAATGATCACCTGTCCACCTTTGGGGTCTCTTACGAGTAGTCCTCTTCATTGGTTTGCCCGAATTGCCACCTCAGTAACGGATCATCCAGGGAATTCCATTAAGGCAGATTTCATTGGCAATACCAGTGATCATGAGGAGTTTCTTTCAGCTGGCATTGATTACTTTGAGGCCATGACCTTAAAGTTGACCGAAACAAAGTCCCTAGACTGCTTCGGAAAGAGCAGTGGTCAGAAAGGGGAAGAAGGTGGATCTACTTCGCCAACTCAGCCTAGGAAGGGATGGGCCAGTAAGGGAAAGCGGCAGAAGGACTTTCAAAGCGAAATCCTACCCAGTCTCACCTCTCTTTCTAGATACGAGGTCACCGAGGATCTTCAAACCATAGGGGGTCTAATGGAAGCTGCTGGTGCTCACTCAGAAAGAGTTTCTCTTAGAGGTGCAGGCAGAAATGCATTGGCTAGAGGAAGAAGAAGGTCCTCTGCTTCAGTCCCCAACAATACAGACTCGTTGAAGCAGCAGCCAAATAGTGGTGTAAAATTGGGCATTGAGAAAAGGGGCTTAATGAGTTGGGGAAGGGCAAATCGAAAGCCTAGGGGAAAGAGGTGTCCTGCCAGAAATCCTCAGTTTTTCTGGAGCCAAGTATCTTATAACCGAATCTAAAACTCTGGATTTTGAATGAGTTTCCATATGAGCTACAAGATCGTCTTGTAAATTCCTTCATAAATAATAATGTGTACATGTTAACAGATAGATAGGAAAGAAATCGTGTATATTTTGGCTGGGGATGTAAGAACTTTTTTCCATCTGGCTTGCTTGATGGATGATCCAATTGTTTACCATAGCTACTGTTTGACCTCCTCGTTGCTTAGCGTGATCGCATTCATATTTAGAACATAACAGAGGATTTGTTATGTTGCCAAGTCACGTATCAAATCCTTTGTAATGTGTTTTATTTTTTTGGGTGGAATTACGAGGCCACGGAAAAACATGCAAAAAAAACGAACTAGTTGATGTCATCCAACAAAAAATTTCCTATACCCTAAAGAAGGGCCATTGAAAATCTTAGTATTCAAGTCATTTGTAGTTCTCTGAGAACGTTATTGAGGGTAACAAGCCAAAAGCGTGTTCGTTCAGAACGAAAGCAATGGCTTCGATGGGGTTGCAGTAGACGTTAACCTTGGTAAACTTTTCCTTCTGACAAAGGAAGCACCAGCATTTTAGTTTCAACGTAAGGGTAGAAATTGAGATATTTGATAAATCTTTCTAACAGATTTCCTTGCTCGCCTCGAATGATCTATCAATAAACTGGTGCATTCCTTTGTAAGTTTCAGTTGTAATTCAGGGGAGGGGAAAAGAAAAAAACTGCAGAATCAGGTTAGGTCATCGAAACATTTACTTCTCCATTCAGGAACCGTTCTTGGTTATCCTATTCTAGAGGAATAACTGGTGGGCATCTTCCCATTAAGAAATCTAGGTCAGATTAAGAACTAAGACGTCCATCTCGGTCAGATTTGTTTGAGTAAGAAAATAGAACTTTAGGTTATTCTTTTTCCTCTTTCTTTCTTTTTCTCTTCCCAAATACCTTTTTTTGCTATTTTTCAAAATACAAAGGATCGATTAACAAATATAATATTCCGCAGGTTTTTTTTCCCTCCCATGAATTACAGCTTTCCTCATACTGTGTTTACCTTACAGCAATCGGACTCGACTGGCTGAGAACTCTTTTGTTTAGTAGTGTGTGTACGTAGCCTATAATCGATTACCCCCATTTGAACGCAAAAATTGTACTACAATGAAAAAAATTCACGACAGAAAGATTCCTTCTTTATGAAATCGATGTTGTTGAGTTCGCCCGATCACAACCATGTGCCTTGTTCCCCTCTCTTCTGCGTCTCTGCCACTGAATTATTGATTCGAGTGGTCCAAAATCAAATTCTGCTTCACAGAGGAGAATCGTCAAGTGGAAGTTGAGTGAAATGGGGGCTCTGAAGGGCCTTCTGAAGCAGCTCATCATCATCCCACAAATCCCGATATGTCTCCAAGTTGACATCGGCGTTTCTTAAGGCCGATAGGCATAGCTCTTTTCTCCATTCTTCTAAACGTGGGAATCCTATGTAGTCTCCATACTTGTCACAGTACTGCAAGATAAGATTACGCTTTAGCAAAACCCATGTGTTCTTCGTGAATACTATGCCCAAATTCATTTGTTAGGTCGCTGAGATTCCGATTATAATCTATTCACTTTATTAAAGTGCATGTGCATTTAGATTAGATTTCCCCCCCCCCCCCCTCAATTGTCACGTTTGAAAGAACTCTTTCAGGAAGTCAGTATCTAAATAATTGCATGTGTAATGGGGTCTGCACCTCAAAATTTGCAATGTCATGGGTGTTGTACTTGGGAATGCCAGCTATATCTCTTGAATGATAGAACTCCTTGATTGATTCCATCATTTCCTCTCTTGATGGCAATACCCTTTTCCCTGACAGCAGTTGAGCTATCCATTTTGCTTGGGACTCAAAGAAAGGGAACCCTATGATCTGCAGTGTCTCATCAAACAATAGTGCTGTTAGCTTAGCCTTATGCAAAAAGATTTGCCTTCTTCTGATCAAGTTGTATATGAAGTTCACTTTTTATATCTCTCTTTAACTGTGCTAATTTATGACGATAAAAATTTTCAGATTCAGTTCTTGCTACTAAACAAACACGTTTACCTTTCTAGGGATGCCTATGAAAGATAGAGATGGAGCGAGGGATGGTGGAAAAGTGTGCTCATAGAGAGGACCCACTCTGTCATCATCCACAGCTACCATTCCTTTAGTGTCAAGAAAAGGGAATGCATAGGAGTACCTGCAAAAACAATGGAAGCCCCTCAATTTATGAGGATGCACAACTAATTGACTTTTGTAAAGGAAACATCAGGATATGTTTGGACAAAGGGTCCCACAATGAGGTCTCTAACATGAAGGTTACAATCATCGTCCAATCAAAACTCCTTCGACCTATATTGTTAGTAACGATTAAAATTTAAAATAATTATATTATCGCAGATAACTGTTCTAATCGATATTTTCCGTACTTAATTTTCTACCGAGCTGAAACATTACCCAGTGCAGTACAAAACAGTGTCCGCAATAATGCAGGAACCATCCACGAAAAGGACTCGTCCATCTTCTTGAAGGCTGTCTATCTGCACATGGGAATAATGGTAGTGCGTCAGGTTTTGCTTGCTACTGTTCCCCTTAAAATTCAAACCTAGTGGATCACAAGTGATGATACCTGTGGATGAAGGAGCAAATTCTTGTGTTTGGATATGACTTTAGATAGACCCTCGGAGATATTGAGAGATCTGGAACTTAGATGCACTTCCTTTGCTACCTCCACAAGCTCTATTGAGATATCTTGTCCACTTAATGAATTTCCAACCACTACCACGGTCTGTTGAATTGAGACTCACCTCAGTTGTAGTTTTAAAAGAGCTTATTTAGTTTAAACACAAGCCCTTCGCAGTTATAAAGATTATTTGAATATTTTACCTCATTTCTGAATGGCTCAGGTGATCTGTATATGTGACTATGCATTTGTTTCCTTTTCCACGAATCCATTCCTATGAAACAGGAAAGAGAGAAAGGGCCAAAAAAAAAAGGTGTGATATATTTGTGACTATGCATGATTCTGACACAGGCTTTTCCTTTGAAGATGCAGAAACTAAGTTGAGATTTAGGCCTACCTTTAATGGATGGCAACCTTGGTTGAGAGTAATGGCCAGTGGCCACAACCACTGCATCGAACACCTCTTCCACCTCCTTACTAGTCTTCTTCTCTTTGCTTCTAACAACCCATTTCAAATCGTCATGACAGACGCCATAATCCAACATCCCCACATACTCCACCCTTGTATTGAACCTTATCATCTCTCTCAGCCTAAACGACTGACAAAAATCCTTGAGGTACTGAAGGAGCTCTGTGTGGCTAGGAAACCTCCTCATGTCTCTACCTTTCTTGACAGAAAATGGGAAATCAGTGAATCCCATGATCTCTCTTGGAGATGTGAGCCTTAAAGACTCATAAATGCTGCTATGAACCTTTAGAAAAAGATTCCTTCCTAAAGGGTCCTCCCCTTCAACATTGGGATCATATAGCCATTGTCCCCCAACATCATGATTCTGCTCCAACACAACCACCTTATGACCTTCTTTTCTCAGCTCCCTTGCTGCCACTAGCCCAGATGGCCCTGCTCCAATCACACAGACATTCTTGGATAGGTTTGTCTCAGAAACCATGGTTGCTGTATCAGGTTTCTCGGATAGTTTTGCTGAAAGGAAGGGACTACTTGGAGGCGTAGCCTATATAGGCGTTTGGTGAGAAATGTATTGGGGATAGTGGGGGGTTTTTATAGTTGAACAAAGTTTCACGTAGGCAAAGGGAAACCATAATTTGAGGGATAGTAGTGGTTTGTTGGCTGGGAGACACACGTGATCATGGGAAATAAATGCTTCCAGATCTGTCTACTTCAAAAGTTCGAAGTTTGGACTTCAACAGTGTTATTTGGACTCTTATGAGTCTTTACGTTGAATTCTTCACATCATCACTTTACCATATGATTATGATTAACTCGCATTTATTACTATATCAAAAGTTATTGTTGATACTTAGATCTCCATGCTATTCTCTTTAACTTGCCTTTCAAAAAAGCAAAAAAGTAAATTGGTGAGCTTAAGTAACTATCCTTCTGCCCATGTCAATCAAATACATGAGGTTTGCTACTTGTTTACTTCATGAGATTTTACTAGTAATTTCAAATGCATTATTATTATAATCTTACAAATTAAGTATACACAAAGATAGTTAATCATTTCCATTAATAATAAACATTGGAACTCATAATCATCATTGATATCTGCTGCTTCTTTTCTCTTTACGTTTGTCTAGACACAGGCTCTTGGCTGCATGCATGTCTGGTATACCCATGTGATGATGATCTTTCTTTCACAATCCAAATTCCTAACCATTTGGAATAGTAGATTTTCTCACACCAGATCACCACCCTTCGGTTCATGTTCCATTGATATGCAATAAGTCAATTTAAAATAGTTGATTTGGCCGTGCAATGATCTTTAAAAGAAGATACTTATCTTTGTAAGTACTCAAAAACAGAGAAAACAAAAGCTCTGTAAGTGCGGTTACATAGGGACACTAGCTTGTCGGGTAGCAGAATTTAAGGAAGAATAGGTCAAATGGTTTTCTGGGGCAAATCACTGCGTCAGTCTATGGGCTACATGGCTTGGAACCCCACAATCAGAATAGGCATGCCTCACCTTCAAGCTAAGGGAACAGGAATAATCATGGAATAGTGTCCATCTTGATCATTTTGATGCAATTTTATTGCTATTTTTTTTTTACCTTATTTTGTTGACAAAGTGAGCCCCCTTTTCTCTTTTTCACTTTTATTTCCTCAACAATAATATATTCTTGTTTGTTTTTATCTGCTTGTGCTTAAAGTTAAAAAATATTATACAATAAAGCTCATATGAGAAGATGAACGGCAGGGAAATTTTAATACCAAATAATGGTTTGAGTGGTTTGCAAGTCATCCTTGTTTTTCCATCCATGTTGTCTTTGGGTGAAGGTTAAGACTACACTATTTAAATTGTATTCTAATTGAAGAAATTATATGTTACTAATATGCCATTACACAGCAATAAATTAACATTGATTCACACGTTTCATGCATGGTAAACGCTCAACAGAATTCTCTGCTTCTGTTCATGAATTTCTTCAAAGTGTTAGTTCCAAGTTCAAATTTTTTGCCAGATTCGTTTGAGCCGATGCAATGCACATTAGTGGGAGTTGAACTGC